ATATGTGTATATATATATATATATATATATGTGTATATATATATATATATATATATATATGAAACAAAAAAGAAAAAAAGACCCAATTTTCTCTATAGAAAACTTCATAATTGCACCAAATGATGCATAACCAGAAAGAAAAGATATATAATATTTCTTGATTCCATACGAGGTTAAAGAGATATTTTAAATTCTGAAAGCTACTTAGCATGGTATTTCATAATCGCAGGAGGTTTATTATACTAAAATAGAAAATTTTTGCAAACAAAACAAAATGAATACCTTCCTACCAGCAGCACGCCATGATTGAAACCCAATCCAAGGTCTCCTGTGAATGCTATCCACCCTATTTGCAATTGCAAACATTCCTCCCATTTCACAGAGAATGTCCCGATAATATGTGTCATTCAAAATAGGCAAACGGCCAACTGCATCCACATCATCAGAACTTTGTCTCTGTGCTCTTCTAGACTGCCAGAAATAACATTTCATTATTATCAGAAAAAAAGGGTCAACTTCTTTCCAATAGATTTACATAAAACTAACAAAACTAAACCTTTTTTCATCAAATTCAAACAAGTGGTCATCCCAAGGGAAATAGAGCAAAAATTATCTAAAAGATGCATCAGATAAGTTACACATTCAATTTAATGCTTTTCTCTCACTTTGTATGGGAAAATAGAGGTAATAAAATTAAGACAAGCACTCTAAATTTGAAATATCTAAAAATGGTACGAGGGACTATATAATGATAAACAGATCAAAATCTCATGAGCTTGAATGATATAAATTGAAAAAAGAGGAAAGACAACAAAAGGCCAAAAGAAAACAAAAGAAAAAGTGTCTTAACTATGAACAAAGATACTCACAAGGCTTAACCCACGATAGAGCGAACCATGGTGCAAAAATGACCACACCCCTGCACCATTGTATATCTCATAAATGCACACAGGTTGTCCTGTTCTTTCAAGCTCCCCCTCATCCCTTTCATTCACTTCAAACTTCAGTTTCTCAGATTTTCTAGCATTACGATATATATCATCCCATACACCAACATTTTTCTCCATTCTCTCTTCAACCTACAACAGATAGAAATGACTTTATGTAACCAGCTATCTCTAAAATAAACTGACAATGAATTGCAAATAGATGAAACAGAAATGGCCGAAAAGGAAGATTTGGAAGATTACAACATACCTCTTCCATTTCAAACATTTCATTCTCTTCAGATATTTCAATTTCTCTCAGAACATCCCAATCCAATTGGGTTAGTCCATCTTGCAATGGAACCTCTGTTCCATTCTCAAAGATGCTTGTTGAATAATTAAGACTTGCCAATTCATGCTCGACAGCATGAACAACAGAAACTTTTCCATTGAAAAAATCACTATCTGTCTTTGACATGTGAATCTCTAGGTCTATTTCCTTCTGAAATAAATTCCATTCCCATGAACCCTGTTGAATCTGAGAAACAGGACCAGGGAGTACAGCATCTGAGGGAAAACTGAGTACATTCTCCAGAAGCCTTGCATAGCCAGTTATGCAATCCAAAGCTAGTAAATTTTTAGCAAGTTGTCTTCCAGATGATGCAATTGCTTGAGCAAATTTAGAAAGTCTACCATTTGAAAGCAAAAGTGAAAAAGCATTCATCAAAGCTTCAGGATTGTGTTTAGAAAAAAATATCCCATGAACTCCATCCACAATCTGCGAGTTGAGAAAAGCTCAATGAAAATGAAGGAATGCAGTATTTATGGCTTCAGAAATCAATGAATGATGAAAAGGAAAAACTAGAACAAACTTACATATTTTTTTAACACAGGAAAATCAGGTACAATGACTGGAATTTCAAAAGTCATTGCTCTGATTAATAATGGAGGAAAACCCTGCACCTCTTGCGCAGAACCGTATAGGATGATATCAGCCATTAGTAAAACACTATTCACATCACCATTCAATCCATAATGCCTTATGGAACCATATGGAAGTCCCAAACGTGAAGCAACTTCCTACATCAACAGCTAATAAATCAGTAAACAATGCAAAGATTCTAGCTGAGATAATGTCACTAAAGATAAGTTAAACATTATAAAACAGAACATTGCCACAAACATATTCCAAGAGCTCATCTTCAAGATTTCTATTTCTTCGGCATCAATTACTATTTCACTTCATTACTAACATATTCTTTTCTAACCCGTCCATTCTTTTACTGACATCCTGGCATGCATCCAGATGACCACTACACAAATTTCCAACCTCTTGGAGGAGGTTCCTCCAACAATATTGATTTTTACCACCAAAAATAAATCCCTGCAATTGTTCATAATTTTACGATGAACAAGAGCAATTCTTGAGCACATGCCATATTTGAGGAAGTCCCAAAAATGCAATTTTACACTATAGTGCTCAATTTTGGTTTCACATATTCTTTTATTAGACAAGTAAACTACAACAATAACATCGAACAACATCAACAGGTGCCAATACTGTGAAGTTACTCATTAAAATCTAATTTGACAGCAAAATAATTTCCTAAGATATAATTCTATACATTGTTTACATAATTTACATATATATATTTCTCCTGACAAGTACCAATAATTTAAAGTAAATACTCACTTATTTGTCAACTAACTTCTTAGAGGTGATTAAAACATCTAATCACTGCTTAAATAATGAGCAGTCTAATGTCTTATATTTTGTCAGCATCAAGTCATGAACATAACATATGTGTACCTTAAAAGGAAAGCATACCTGTAAAGCTTCATCATAACCATCAGTAGAATTGCCACATAAGAAAACAAATTTAAATGCTTCAGTTGCATCATTCCTCCTAGCATATTTTGTCAGCAGAGGTCCTATGGAATGCATTGCAACAGCATAGTCCCACGATAGGTCATCATAGAAGACTGAGCTCCCAACAACTAGAACCACCATATCATTTTTACCAAATCCACTAAGTTCTCTTAGCTGATCCTTTGCATGGGTCTTACTATATCTTTCTGCAGCCCACACATCTACTGGTGAACCAGGAATCACAAAGAAGTTTCCAGTGTCAAGCTCACTATATAACATCTGATACAGAAAGAAATAAAAAATGAACAATAGCTTCCAAACATTTAAAGCAAGTCTATGGAGAAAACATCCTATATTCTAATACTGTCGATGTTTGAATCTTTGAGCATATGTAACAGCATCTTTACCGGAGAAGTAAAATCTGGAAAGACAACAACACTGGCTCTGCTGAAAGATCTTCTCCAATGAGAAATAATATGATGCCAACCCATTTGCTCATAAACTGGAAGGCGACTTGAAAGGCTATATTCTTGAATAATCCATATCAATGGAACTGAACAAAAAGGCTCCTGCATAAGGCTGCACAAATATAAAACTCACTAATCATAGCATCAGAACATCCTGCCTTCCCAATTCATCAAGACACATTTGAGACAGCAAATTTTCAAACAATTAGATTAAATAAAGAAAAAGGTCAAGGAAAACCTATAGTGGGTCTGAATATCAAGATCTGGTTAAAGCTTACTCTATCTACAAGCCTCTGCAGAACTTTTAAATTTTCAAAATCAACAAAAAAAAAAAAAGTAAAATACCCAACTCTTAACAAAAGCAATGAGAGCTAATGTGTTGTCTTTTTGTATATTTTATAACATTTGTAGGAAATAACAAAAAAAAATCATTGGACATAAAGGAGGAATGAAAATGGGAAAGTATATATCTTCTAATTTCCATTCCTATCAAATTTACCATGTTTCCAAACAAGGTAAACGAAACACTCCCTCTATTACAATGCAAACAAAATATCAGCCAAACAAAGTGCAAAAGTACCACCAATCAACACAACATATTTACATGCTTAAACTTTTCATGTAGGCAGCATGATTATTTATTATTTTGGAAAACACCCAAAGAATAGGAATGCTGTTTCAACTTCTGAGGACAAAATTGGAAACCACCCCCCACCCCCCCAACCCAATACAATGGGCAGAAGTCAAACATTTTGCAATTTAGTTAAAGAAAACCCACCTTGAAACGGCTTCTTTTGCTTCTAAGGAATCAACAATGATACCTTCAAAACTGTGGAGAAACCAAAAGGAAAAGAGGGTGAAAAGCTAAACACCTATCAAATTACAACCAAAAATTATTCCTAAAACATATATACAGGGAAAAAACGCTAATGCTTTAAAACTGACACAGGTAGCCCCAACTTAAACCCCCAGCATCAAACAAGAAAAGTAAAGTCAGTAAAAAACACATACATCGACCAATCAATCAGGCCTTGCTGCTTTGTACTCAAAGGAGAGATTCCACCACCAATGTTTTCCCATATTGAGTGGGCCTTCCCATGCCCTACTGCAAATATCTGTTAATAGACACGGGAAATGTATGACCTTTCAAAACCTATACTCAATTACAAAAGCAAAAATATAAATTAACAAGCTACACCATCAATTAGAGGTAACTCGCTGTCAGCATTTATGAAGTAGATAATGTCATAAATAATGTACCTTAAAAGCATAACCCAACTTCTGTAGATTTCGAATCACAGTAACCAACATCAATGACTGGGGATCTATCGTTGTGTGCCCTAAAATCTGATAGACAAAACAAGTAAAGATAAATATATTAAGAGCATAGACAAGATGTTTTTCATGCATGCTACTATGCTGGATGACGCAAATGAATTTTGGGATATTTGATAAGTGATAACCCCAATTAAGTGCACAAAAGTTAATGTAATCAGCCTCTTTTTTTTTTTTTTTTTTTTTTTTTTTTTATTTTCTAAATAAGCGGGCCAAATGGCTAGCCCACACCTTTTGGGTCAAGCCTTTTTGGCCCAATGGCTATGAAGTCAAGATTCAGGACCATAAACTAGAAATATTACTATTCCATATACAGCTGAAATAACAAGAACCTCTTCTTTGAGACAATGCTCATTACTCAAAACCAATGAAACAACCCATAATCATGAAGGTAATATCAAAGTTCTTAGACAGGGATTCTTGTCCAAATTAGAAGCTGTAACTTGTATGGTTTCATCTCTTTTTTCTTTGAATGACAGAGACTTGGAGAGGAATAAAGATCTGCATAACAAATGCATGATCAATATAAATTTAAGAAACTGAATAGATTTTGCACTTTTGCTTGGGAATCACAAAAAGTAACACTACAAGAGCAGAGCTTCTTTATCCTCCATTATTTTTGTAATTACCCAATTTTAATAACTTCTAGAAGTTTATGGCATGCTATATTACAAGGACCACCAGTTCCGAGTAAACCTCACTTCTCTGTCATACATTCAGATTTACATAAAAAGTTCCCCACAGTAAGAGTGGCAACTATGAAATGATAAATTCTAATAATAAGCTATCTGGAAACCAAAGGGTGCTAAATCTTTGTCCATTATTACTTAAGTGAACTAAGTACGTTGAAATCTTCAACCAAACCTTGTATCAAAAATATATTAAGCTATATCCTAGAAAAATAATTTGAAGAAATTACTCATTACTTTTTTTTCTTCTGTTTTTGGTAAAGGGAGTAGGGGCACTAAGATTAGATGTTGCAATGGAAAAAAAAATAAAAAATCAGATGCTATGTGCAAATATTTTGACAGTTTGACACTCTTTGGGTATCAAACCTGGTATCAAGTGCAAAGGTGTAGACTTTTTGTTGAGATCCTACATCGACTAAAAATATAGAAAATGTAGTGCTTATAACTTATAGGGCTTGGACAGCCATAAGCCCAAATACATGCAGTCCAGGGAGTTCACTCTGGTCCGGTGCACTCCTGATGATCAACTTTTGAAGCTAAAATCAGATCAGGAATGTATCTAAGCCATAGATATTTCAAGATTATCAACATTCCCTTCAACTTAGCTCTAATCAAAAGGGAGAATTATATTTGAAACTGGAGAAGAAAAAGAACAAGTTACCTATGCTCAAGGACCAATTAAGAGTCCAGAATTCAATAATTGTAATGAAATGCAAATTTTTCCCATCATTACAAAAAATGCATCCATCCATAATAAGAAATAACCTTCAATCAACTAATTAAACAGAATACCAACATGGTCCGTGCAAACAATTAAGAAAGCTTACATCACAAGTCTTAACTAACATGAGTGCAAAAGCCTGTGCTACATTAACTAAACAACATTGTTATGAAACAAACAAACAATCATTCCATAGAAATGCAACATCAAGCTTCTTGACCCAATGGTTGTAAGGTTTGTCTTGAGACAAGGTAATCGATCCGGTGCTCTCATAATCAATTCTTATCAGTATTAAAATAATGTTTTACCAACGGCAGTTACACACTACTAAAACATGTAGATTAGTCATTCCGTGTAAGCTTGACACTACCTGAACAATGCTCATGGACAAAAAAAAAATATCCATAGAAACACAAATCAATTATACGGTTGGGTTGTCCAGGCACAAGTCGAACGGATCCTTCAAACTGTATCCCGCATTAACTAAACAGCTAAGCTCAGCAATTAACAAGATCCTAACGAAACAACTAAATCCTCTTCAGTGAAAAGCAACAGGCGGCATCAAAATATCATCCATTAATCAGCATCGGAAGAAACAGAAGCAATGAAAACGGGAGAGGGAACTCACGATAGCTATCCTGGGCGCGCGAACGGCGGCCCGGGGCTGGGAGCGAAGCCGATCGAGTCCATCGCCGGAGAGGAGCCTCTTGGAGAGCCTCCCGGGGACGAAGCGGAGCGCGGTGCCGAAGCGAAGGCCCTGGCGGAGGTAGCGGCCGCGCTCGGCGCGCTGGCGGAAGACGGAGGTGATGGAGCTCTGCATGACGATGGAGGCGAGGGCGAAGAGGAAGACGACGGCGAAGATGAGAGCGTAGAATCCAGACTTGGACTTGGAGAAGGGGAAGAGCCAGAGGAGGAGGCCCTTGCGAGTGAGGCGCGTGTGGAGGTGAGATCGGCTGTTGGAGGAGCGCGGCAATTGGCGATCGAAGGAGGCGCGGTGGCGGTGCTGCGGCGGGTGCTGCTGGTGGCTAGGGTTCCGCTTGAAGGGGAATCCGCCTCGGATCGCGTGGAATCCGATGTCGCCGGCGGCGTCGTCGATCTCCGGCTGCGACGCGGCGTTGCGCGACAATCCCATGGAGAATCGAAGGAGGGAAAAAAAGGGGAATCAAAAGGTAGCAGAGTTTATTGGGATTCGGAAATGAGAAATCGAGTAGGCATTCTTGTTGTTATTATTATTATCAATGTTTTCTTTCGCATTTTGGTTTTGCCTTTGCGCTCACTTTGTCAACCTTGTTTTGTTACTGAATCCACTTTACGAACCCACTCTCTCTCTCTCTCTCTCTCTCTCTCTTTCTCTCTTCTTCTCTCTCCCTCTCGTCAATGTGCATGCTTTTATCGTGACTACACTGTCACATGTAATCATTGTCATTCATGTAAATTAATTCATTAAAACAAGTTTACGTAAATCAGGCTTTTTGGTCCGCGTAAATGTAGAGGATGGATTTTTGTTTATGATAAATAAATATTTTTCATATAATTATAATTACGTTTTCAGTTTTAGATAAATAATTTATATTATGATATAAATTTAATTATTAATATTGAAATTTTAAAAAAAAATAAAAATAAAAAATTAGAATGATACATTTGTTAGTTCATGCAACAATATCATGCGCCTCCCACATTGGATCTCTTTTTAACATGCACATATTTTCACAACATATTCTTCTTAATTTTCTACCAAACAAACAAAGGAAAAGATTTAAATCTTTCTTAAATTCTTCCTAAATCACTCCTTCCAAAATGACTTAAATAAAGAGTTAGTGAAAACAAATCATTGATCACTAACAGTTGCTCATCACAAAATTAAATCTCACGTGATTCTACTATAGATTCCCCTCAATACATCAATAAAAATATGTATTGCTCAATAAAATGTAATAATTATTTACAGATTTGTTAATTATACATGTAATAAAGGACTCAAATTTCATGTGTATGAAAAAATTTCTATTACAGAGATTTTTTTAACTAAATTTCAGTCAAATAATTAATTTTAACTCCCCATGAAGCAGTAGCTTGACAACTAAAAATATTGTTAGTTGTCAGATGAAAACGAATCCTTATTGATTAAATGAACAGTATCAAAGCACCGACAAAAATTTGTTCCTAACTGCATGTGTCTAAAATATATAAACTTTTAGTTGTTAGCCATTTAGCAAAAATAAATAATTATTTATCAAAATATTTCACTCAGTTATTTAGAAGAATATTTTTGTCTACTAAATGTATTTTTCTTTTCTTTTAGCGTTTCAGTGGGTTGCTAACGGGATTTGACAAAAAGAGAAGAGAATAATTTTTTGCCTGTTACAAACATGTCTTCAATCCCATATCAGCGCTGATAAATTTTTGTTTCAAAATGGGATGTTAACATACTATTTTATTTAATAATTCAAACTTTTATAATTCTCATCAAGATTAAATATTTGTTTTTTTTTCCTTATAAGTGTTTATATAATAATGATATATACATGTATCATAATCCATACAACAGTTTACACAACATAAATTTTTTTAACATTATTTCTTCTTATTTGATAATAATACTGTACAAATTGATGTAATTTTTTCTATTGAATTTTGTTTTATTATGAAACGTTAAAATGAAATGATGTTTTTTTTAGTTATTATTTATAAAAATATCAAGAAAACCACTCTTAGCCACGTGTTTTAAAGATTTGACTAAAACCCAAAAGGAAAACAAAAAATTTATCAAATTATGTATAAGAGGCTCCAATGACATTTGATCCTTCACTATAAAACAAATTCTTTTAACACGCCAATGTTAATTAATTATCTGAACCATCAATAATAAGCCATTAACAAACTTGACAACTTGTATTCTTCATGGCGCCATTAGAGCTAGCCTTCTACAAAAAGACAAATTTTTATGTCTCCTAAAAGTTATGTAAAGTTTACATGACATTCTTTATTTAAAATTATTTCAAAAAAATTATAAAAGACGACATAGAGAATGCATATTTGACTGGCTCTTTTTTCAATGTTGATATCCTAATTACGATCATCATAAATCATAAATACATTATAAAAAAAACGATAGTATTAAGTATTATAATACGCATGCCAAAAAACACATTAATGAAAAATTATTCATACTAAAATTAATATTCTTTTGTTTATTTTAGCAAACTAATTAATATATTTCTAATTAAAAGTTAAAAATTAACCCCTCAAAATACTAAGATTTACTTAAATATTTGATCTTCTTCAACAATTATTTTTCTATTTAAAACCCTTTATTATGTGCTGAAGTAATAAAATTATCTATCAACTAAGTGACACTTTATTAATATTCATCCATTCATTTAACTCTTAATCCATTGAATTCAAGTATTCCGGAAAGTTTATACAATTACTCTAGTAATTTGAGTACGCGACTAAAGCATTATGGCTTCAATATTTTAACATGTAAGTGGTTATAAATGTAAAACCCATCTTATAAAAGTCGCATTCAATTTTATAGTACATTGAAAGTCATGGTGCTATTTAAATAATGCTAAAAGACATTTTGATTGCTATGAAACTCGATAAACTGCAGCAACCCAGCAATATAACTGCAACAGAGATCTTATCTAAGGTTTATTATCAACCTTTTATTAGATAACGTGTATGCGTGCATCTATTACTATACATAGTATCAACCAAGTATCAAGAACCACGTAAATTGATGGTTCACTGATCCTCATCAGGACAAGCTTCAAGAAACTCCTTTATTCTCAGTCGTTCATCCTTTGTGAGATCAGGATCATCACTAGTCAATCTCTCACGAAGGGAGGCACGAACACTGCTGCTGTCGTCAAGGACCTGATGGGAGAGAATGAAATAAGTGAAATCAATAACACAATCTGCAGACATTGTATGTTGTGGTGCATTGTATTTTTTAGTTAAACTAATTCTCAAGTACTGATTTCGATTTTCCAGCAATTTCCTAGGATTCAAAAGAAATAAGTAATAATCCCAAAATTTCTTCTCTGAGCTATTTAGTTGAAATATTGAACTTACTTGAATAAAATTGTTGACATGGCCATCTTTGTTGGGAGAGGTTACAAGCTCATCTTTATTGCAAGTCCATTCCCCATCAACAATGTACTTGTATTCGTAGAGTCCTTCCTGGTAAATAGGACAAGAAACTTATTTCTCATCAATCTAATGAAATAAACGAGAGATCTGCGTGTCCAGAAACTAGCAAATGCATTCCAACATCTTAATTCTTCAACCACCTAGATGCCTTTATAAACGAATAAAATAAAATCAGGTGTTTCAAAATAGTCTTTAGATAGGAAGCGCCAATAGTAATTTTATATTAAACAGCTGAGGGAAGAACTTCAGCCATCTAGTGCACATGATTAAAACTACTACATCATTTAGCTGTTAAATACAGTTATTGTCATATGCATAAGGTTGAGAAAAAATAAATACGATAAAGCTATTCTATTAGAAATTAAGTCTCATTTAAGATTTTTTTTTTATGCATGAAATTTATAAAACATTGAAAAAGAAATTCTCCAACAGTCCTTTATTTTACCTTACTTTTCCCCATGTATTGTTTTAATCACAGCCGATGATCAGATCTCAAGTTATTGTTTTAATCACAGCCGGTGATCAGATCTCAAGTTATTTGATCATTCGTCAATATAAGACCGAACTTTAAACTAACAAATAATAGTAGCCCACAATAAGTTCACTTACAGGCAATTCCTTCTTGAGAAACCACGAACCTTCTTTGTCATCAAACTTTAGGGGTATTCTCTGAAAAGAGATCACGACTAAGTAAAGCTTTAGCATGAACTCATATCAACCACAAGCAATGTTCAAATATAAGAAGTCAAAACTATGTAATTCAAATTCTTTTAAAGATAAAAAGATTTTGAATCTGAAATGACACTTCATCTCATCCCTTAAGCAGATCATTTTGGCAAGATGTCAAAAGTTGTCAGTTCAACTTTTAACAGCTCAGGACCAAACTGCCAATTTCTATTGACAAATTAATTTTCTTAGTTGGTCTGAATTCCTGATAGCAGCAGTGGTGAGAAAAACAATTGGTAAAATTCAATAAGCAACTAATCTACAACTTACAAGGTTTAGTACAAAGAATTGGTAAAATAAGAAATGGAAGTCTAACATGCTAGATGAAGATGCACTACCAGGATTTACAGATGAAATCACAAGTGACAATGAAGAAAAGAAAAAGAAACATGACAATTGGGGATGCAATTAGCAAATCATATAACGTGTTATGTAGACATTCATCATCCAATAATTTCTTATCTGAATTGTTTGAATATATTCATGAAATGCAATGGCAGCACATTTTTCCCTTCTCAAATATTTTGACACTGATAAATCAGCCACCTCCGATTCAAGTTATCAAGGACTCTTAAGTCACAGTCACACTACCAAGACCCACAAGCTATAGTACACTATTTTTAAAATATTCTTCAAGGTAATGAGTATATAACACAAAAATCCCAACAGGAAACCAGATACCGTACATGTGAAAATGTTTCAAAACAAAATGATAGATGGCTGTAACTGAAGCAGTTGATGATGATGATGGTGCTATATGATAATATCTCCATGTAATGTAACGACCTTTACATGTTATATAATAGAGGAACTGAGACATTTCTTAAATCTAAACAAGAAGACTCAACCATCACCTGCCCCCATCCAATATCAAGTCCTGAAATTTCCACCGTAGAGCAATTGCTGTCTTCCCATGCCAAAGTGACAGGCTTCTTACTGAGGCCTGTAAGCTGAGCACCACAAATAAATAATGGTTAATGATAAAAAAGTCACTTCAAATGTTATATATTTAAAAAAAAGAGAGAGAGAGAGAGAGAGAGAATAAGTCCTAAAGCATACTTGTCCAATAAAAAGATAAAAATTAAAAAAACTGAAGAACATCATCAATTAAATCATCATCTTGAAATTTCACAATAAATTATGTTAGCTTTCAAGGAGAAAAGACTTTTCAAGAAGAAGATCACAACTATAATGAATAACAAAAATATCTATAACTCAAATTGTAAAGCTCAATAAATATAGAAAAAAAATATTGACTCACAATATCAGCAGTTGCACTCTTGATGGCATCCAGTTTCGGAAAGCATGACCTTTTGCTCTGCAAGTAAGGAAGAAAAGAAATTAAAAAAATAAAATAAAATAAAATAAAAAGGCTCAAGAAAACTTAAAAATATTCCAATCTCATTTCTCCCTTTACATTACTTGCATTTAAAACTGGTTCACAAGAATTATAACCGTCAAAGATCAAACTCGCAGAATGAAAATTCTAAGACATGCAGAAAAAGAAAATGACATTAAATTAAGGTACAAACGATTAAAAAAATAAGAATTGCTTATAAAGTACATGTAAGAATCAATCTATCAGTAAGTAAACTTCTCAGTTACATAATTCACAAATACTGAAGTTTAGAAACTAGTGATCAACTATAACTGTTGAAGAATCAGTAATTGCAACACAATCATTATGCATAGGAAATCACAAATTGCATAAACTCGATTTGAGTTACTTGTGAGTTAAGGAAATTAATGGAACAGATAGGACTACCAAGCCTAAAATAATCCTTTGTCGAAAGCCGTTGAGAAGAAAATCAAAATGGAAAGAATTATTTTGTTTAATCCAAGCAATGTGGAGGAGTACTGAAAAACATGCAGCATATTAAAAAGAACGCTTTATGGATTTAAAATGTGAAACAATGAAAAGAAAGTATTGCGCATAGTCACCTGGAGTAGTGTATGAGCCTCATTGAGTTTATAACCCAGAACCCAAAACATATAAGCCAACTGAGACAAAACAAATTGTTAGTAGACAACCTATACACACACTGACACACCTATTGTGGCATGATAATGTTCAGAGAAATTCAGAGAGAAAGAGAATAACTAGATTTGATTAACAAAAAAGTGATTTCATTCAATACAGCAATAGTACAGTGATAAGGATTATATACCCACTGAATAATTTATGACAGCTGTCAAGCTAACTTGCAACTAACTAGAACTTGTAAACTGATACCCAATAGATAGAAGCCATAGGCTGATTTTGTTTCATCATTCACACATGCCAGAATTACAGAACAGATAAATCATTACACAAGAAATGCCAATTGCTAAAATATTTGAGAAAAAGAAACTAAGACACCACTAACTTTTTCACCTGTATCATCATGATAGCTTTATAAATGATAAGGTTAAATATTTTTTCCTCTTGCGCATCCTTTTTTTTTGTGTTAATTTCTATCGATTAATATAATTATAATGTTCTCCAATAAAGTAATAATTAATACACAGTCCACAAAGTTCATATTTTATGTTTACACTACTCTATTGAGAAAATAAGAAAATATTGATTTTAGGATTTCTTTTCTAACCTTTCTTTATAAAAAGAAGCCAGCTTCAAGAAACATCTATAGATGAAATTAGGAGTGGATGCAACCAGATGGCTTAGGTCCAAGTCATGTATAAAAAAAGATGGATATTAAAGAGGGTGACCCAATGCATAATGCTCCCACTATTGTGAGGTCTGGGGAGTGGGGAGGATCAGATGCACATAACCTTAATTGTGAGAGAAAAGTCTATTTCCATAACTGGAACCAGTGATGTGATTGCCACATGGCCCACATCACAAGGCAATAACCTTGATGTAGAGATAAATCAAGTTGGATATATAGGCCTGTTCGAAAACTCAATCTAGAGATGATAATAAAATGTTTCGACACTGAAAATGATTTATAGGTGTTTCTTTTGTATGAACATATTTAAGTGAAAAAAATATATTAAAACCATTCAGCATGAGAGAGGTTATTGAATACATCCAGCACCAATCCTTTCCATATTTAACTTATTAATTGGATAATCATTTCCTTTACTATATCCAGAACTAACCTAAAAAACATTTCAGGTTAAACATTCTGCCCTGCAAGTAACAAGTATCACATAAATGAAACCAGGAGACATACCGCAACAGCTGGAGCTCTTCCAAGTCCAGCAGTGCAATGTATATATGTTACACCACCGTTGGAATTTATTGCCTTGTATAATTTGCTAACTACAGCTGGAAGTCGCATCCTTAGATCAAATGCATCAAAGTCCCTGCTACATCCATGTCAGATCATCGTATAATGGGAAGAAGAACATGAGAAAACAAACGCAATGGAATGTAAAATGAAGAATATATAATTGTTTAGTTACACATACCACGAGTAAATAGAAATGCTAGTAATTACAAAAAATGTACAACATATATGTAAAGCAGAAATGACTAAAATTTAGTCATATGTACAAAGAAATTAGAGATCATAATATACAAGGTGATATTACCAACTAGTCAAAAAAACACAGAATTGTCCCAAATGCTTGAGCTTTTGGTAACTTCTAAATTGATTTTTTGATATATCCATCAGTAGTAAGAAGTAAATATATTTAGAAAATACAACAAAGTAACAAATTTTTGTGCAGGAATTATTCAACCTATAGTTTTAAAGAAGGATTTCATAGCATAAAACTTCAAATTAATAATAGTTCAGTTCAATTTGAGTTCACAGTGGGTTGCCTCATGAGGTTATTGTTAAAATATCTACTAGAGTCAAGATATCTCATAATATTTTGACTATCTTAGAATATTTTAAAATATCTGTATGATATGTTTAAACTCACGAGGTTTTGTATCACATTATCAATCCACCATACAAATCTTATGTCAAAATATTCAAAGACTCCTTTCTTTGATTTTACTCCTTCCCAGTTTAAACCCTATAATTTCTTTGAGTGTTTTGATATAAAAATGTCATGCCATTACTAACCTTATCTCAGCACGCAAGTGTTGTATGTCATTGAACGTTTTGGCATATTCTCGTATGGCATTAATGTCAACTCCAAAATATCTAAGTAGTTGTAAAGAAACACAATGGTTCATTTGCTATATTAAATTTGTGATATTTGTCTCAAATGCTGAAAGTGAGTCTTATTAAACAAATTGATCAGGATACTCAAGGTCTGGATCTTGTTGTAAGCAAAATATAGTTTTTACTCCAATTCTATGCAACTTGTCAACATCTTCAGGAGTCTGGTAATTTGAGATAGAAATAAAATAAGTCAGAGAACCAAACTAGATTTGACAGAATTCGATCAGGTATCCATAATTCAAACAAAAAATACCTGTAGGCATGAGCCCACAATCAAGTCTGGACGGATGAAGTTGTAGTTCATTCCTAATTCATGCCTATAAGTCAAAACTGTGTAGAACTTTGTTAGAAAGGGTTAACAACATTAATTATTCAAAGAAAAAAAGAATAGGACAAGCAATTGAGTGGTCCTTGACTTAATCCAAACTATTAGCAGAATATGATTATTACAAACCTAAGAAAGTTAGAATTATCTTAGCAAACAAAATGAAGGTTTATTCCCATAATTTGAAATATATCATCACAGTCTACCCCAAAAAAGAAATTACATATCAGGGAGCTTCAAGTCTAAACCCTAAACCCTAAATTGTATTGCAAGTTCTTCACTTATCTAGAACCACAAAGTAGGAGAAGACCAACAAAAGTAAGAAAAGTAGATCAAGTGGAAGATATGGTCTGATTCAAAGGGACAAATATAATTATAATGTTCTAACTGGACTTATATTGAAATTTTGGTTTCTTTTAGGGCCTAATGATGTTTGATCAATGTAGCCAACTCCATATAGCGGGATACGGCTACATCATTGTTAAACTAGAAGCACAAAAGTCTTTAAACATACCAGCACCCATGGCTTCTGTCATGTTATGACTATATGTCTCAGACTTTTCCTCCTCCTTATCGGCACTACTTGTGTCTGCACTCGGTATAGAACCTGAAGCAGCCTGCAAAGAAAAATACCAATCATGTTCTCTAGAAAACCCAAGAAATATTACGAAGCAGAAATGACATGAATAGCAGATACCAACGGTCCACTTACATAGTCAAACCTAAGTGAGAAACTGTGGATGAATATTTCACAGGACAGGGCACAGAAGTAACAAATGTTCCTCATTTTAGGTTTTAATATTTACACCAGTAGCAATATCTCGTTTTTTCTTTACATTTAATTTTGCCATCATTGATTCTGGTAGATTCCAGAATATGCCATGAACATCCCATGATTTCCACACACATTCGTAGGTTGTCTAATAATTCCAGCTTATCGTGTATTCCCCACAAAAACTAATTCAGCTTCAAGACAATAATGATATTGAGCTACCAAAAGCCAATCCTATAATCATATTTAAGAGTTCTGACATTGGATCTGTTTGAATAAACTTCAAACACTTTAAAAAAAATTGTAGAAGCTAAAACTAATTTATGCTTAAGTTAATTTGTAGAAGCTCTCTCTTATTAACTTCTCTAAAATATTATTTTTTGACTTGCATAAACTACTTTTAGCTTACAAATAAATTTATTTAATTTCTCTTTCCTATTTTTCTCAACTATAAGGAGAAGGAGAAGTTTACTCACACATACCCATTATGCAATACTCTAAGAGCTTCTAATCGATTGAACGTGGAAGGACAATAAAAGCAATATTATAGAATCAACAAACAAAACAGAAAATAAAATAAAACAGTATAGTTACCCTGATCGCCATACTACGATTTTGATGAGAATTATTAACGATTCCCTGTGTCCAGCAACGAAAAGAGAGGGCGTGAGAGTGAATAGTGGTAGATAGCGATTAAAGAAATAAAAAGTTGAATAAAATGAAAATGGCGTGCCAGTGAAAGACGAAGATTCTTGTGGTGGCGCGTAAGAACTGATTCGAAGGGCAAAACGGAGAATCTGGAAAAGCAGGAATCTCATTTCATTCTCATTCGATTCGGATAACAGTATATATATATAGAGAGAAAATGAATGGAAAAGGGGTTAACGAACCGAGGAAGATTGTGAAGACAGTTCATGATGATTGAGCTGAGTGACAGTGCAATGTAATGGGTAATGGGTAATGGGATTCGGTTTGATATTTTGTTCTTCTTTTTATTGATTTGTGTGCCCAGAGTCGAAACAAAAGCAACGATAAAGACAACGTCCTTTTTCACTCATGGCATAACTATCTGGTTGGATCACCAGTAACCATTTTCTAGACCTCACTCACAAACGCCAAATCTCACTCGCCTTTCTTTCTCAGCTATGCTAACAAATATCGTATCAGTGGGTCCTTTTGTGTTCACCTCCGTTGCTTAAAAAGTAAAAACTACTTTTTATCATTATTTTAAGAAAATTCTGTTACATTCTGTCAAAAAAAAAAAACTGTTATAATAGAATGAAAACAAGTTAAGTTTTTAGAAACAAGTTAATTTGTACTATAGGATCGAATTAAGATTTAAGAGCAATTTTCATGATGTAGAAAACGAATCTAGTTTGATACAGTAAGTGTGTGTTTAGTTTCACGTTTGACCGGTTTAACTTGCATAAAAAACGTAAAAATAAGAAACTATAATTTTTTACTTCTGCGTTAAATCAATTAAAACGTGAATCAATTACGTGAATTCAAACATGCACTAAGAGTGTGTTTGAAACCAAAATTACTGTATGAATCATCATTTTCTATTGAGATATCCCTTGATCTTTTGACAGTTTCAGATATTTCTTGATATTTTTTATGAATATTCTATTATTATTATGATTGATTTGGTTATCACAATTATAATATCTGTTATAATGGTGATGTAGAGATTCTATTTAGGAATAATTGTGTAATTAACATAAATTAAGATAGCTATTCATGTAATCTTTGTGTATATATATTTGGTCTTGGTCAGCATTAAAGGGGCAAGAATTACATAGCAAATTCTTCTTTATTATCTCTTCGTGTTCATCATAAACAATAAAAAAAAATAGATTTTACATCATTGAACATATTAACGTAATTTTTTTATTGTTAATATGCTTTTTTGACATTGTTTTAAATACACGGTAACTTGATTAATCTGATTCACGAGTTGAGTTGAATTGTAAAAAATTTATGTCGAAACTTATATTGCTTAAATTTTAAATAATATTGTGATAGCCTCTGATTAGTTAATTTAGGAGTTGACACCTTTATGTTTTAATAATAATTTTTCCCGTAAACTTTAAGCTCCGTCCATCTTAAAAAAACAGTGGATTTAGCCATGCTAGGCTGGACTAATAAATATCCAATCTAAAGTTAGATCAATTATACTCAACTTGGTCTAAAAATAAACTAATGCACTAACTTGAATGGGTTTTGATTATATATCTTATATTTTTCATAAAAGACAACTTGCTTTCAGACTGAGTCAAGTAAGACAATGTAGATTAGATTGGAGCTGTTGTGGAAATCAAGGACCAGCAGGGTATGGAGGTTTACTTCGGGGACTATACGGCAATTGGATTATAGGCTAAAGTCAGGTTTGTGTTACATACTCTCAAAATGTCTTGTTTTTTATCAACCAACAAATTGAGTATTGTCACCGCTGAGGGCATAAAGGATTTCACCAGAGAGAATTGGAAGCTGGAGTTCAAGCATACTCTCAGAGAGGGAATCAATGTTCTTGTGACAGATGCCAGGGGTTTACCATTTTTGAGGTTGTAATTTTTCCTTTTCTTTGTTTGCACATGTTACCGAAAAAAAAAAAAAGACTGTAGATTACAAAGACCATGTATGTTTTGATTTCATGTGTGTGAGAAAGAAACACTTATTTTAAAAAGTAATTCCTGTATACTTATTCTATTTAATAAGAATTTCATATTTTAACTATCTTGATGACCATTTAAATTAAATATTGGGTAAATTAATTTTTCATAAATATACAGTTTTATAGCTGGCATTGCTTATATTTTAAAATTATATTGCACATTAGAACAAAGTAAATTGATAAAATTTCAAATATTTTTAAATTATATAAAAAAAATTAGACTCTATCCATTTAATAAAGATCCCAAACTAACAATTAAGTCAATGGAAATTAATTTATATAAAAAAACATTAAGTAGAGTAAAACACAAAGACTAATTTTTTGTGTATTGTAAACAATCATTCATGAAGAATTTGCACTCTTGATACTTATTTGGATAAGAAAAAAATGCTATAAATCGTTTGGCAACAGAATGCATCTCTATTACCCCCAAAAGAAGTTTTTCTAAAAAATCCCTTGTGGTATATGCATTTAAAATTGAATTTTTTGCACTATTCCAATTTGTATCCAATGCCATAAATTGATTATGTCTACCCTGTGCTAATGTTTTCAGTGTAACGCCATAAAAGATGAAAGCGACACATTTTCTTACATTATAATTTGATTCAAAGGCTCCCTCTCTTTCTCTCTAACCAAAAAGCATAAAACAAATGTTAAAAGGTTACCAATCAAAACAAGAAATGAAAATAAGAAAAATGGAAATATATCACAATTCTACAAAGCAGTGCCTTACGTGCAACTTGTAAATTTAAGGAGGATATTTGATTATTCCTAAAGTTTCTATTAAGATTACTTATCAATAATGGCCCTTAGGTTCAGAATTTTCACCCAAAAAATAAAAATGTTATAATACCAGTCAACTGCCTATGTCTACAAGGGCTAAATTAAATAAATGTTGATCCCGCGTACACTAATACAGCTTCCAACAGCACTGAAGAGTGAAGACTAAATCAAGACTTGACAATGTCATCACATATCTACTGGTCCCCAAATATTTTGATCATCATAAGACTGGGGATCCCTTAACATTGGTTTGAACCTTGGTCTTGCTGGTTGGTCTTTACCCATGGGAAAGTTCCAGAATGAATCTGAGTTCTCAAAGAATATGTAAAATGCAACAGCTGATGCTAAAAATAGTCCCAAAAGCACCAAATAGATCTGCCACTCTGCAGGTTTTAAAGGATATTTAAAATGTCAAATTAAATCAACATCATTGGACAGTATTAGAAAGAAGGAATGTCTGCATGCGTGTGTAAGAGAGATAGAAAGAGAGGACCTTTCCAATCCTTAGGTACAGTCAGCTTAGTGACCAGCGCTCCCCATTCTACTGAGGTTGTAAGTACAACCCTGAACAATAAACACCCAGGTGAATACATAGGTAAGACCAAAAGTATAGATTTATTAGGATAATTGAATGTATATTTTTTTTAATGTGAAATTGCTTGCCCATGATCATGTAATCAGACTTCAAGTCTAAGGCAATCTGTGGAGACAACTTAAATTCCTTTATAAATGGCTTAAGCTTTAATGTCAGATTGGTTCTCTAACACTAGGTTCAATTTCAAAAATCCACATTTGCTCTGGCTAATGATCTGATGGGAAAAATTTTCCATTGCTAATATTAATCAAGATCACAAGGGAATTGCAACTTATTCTAGATCCATCTCATGTCTCACCATTCAATATTATCTACATTTATGATAACCCACCAAATCCTTTGCATCCCATTCTTAGTATGTACGATCATGTGATTCTACACTTATGCCTGGTTTTCCTTGATTTCTCAAACTAAAGCTAGAGACCTAGTATTTTCAAACCCATTTATCATGCACGACTACTTGTTACATCCACCCAATGTTTCCTAAATATACAGCTTCTAAATATTGGATTTGGATCCATGGATTCTAAAACCCCAGAAATTAAAAATCCTCCAACATTAAGGAGAGAACCAGAAATTTGAGAAGAGAGAATCTCATTTGATAGAGGATTTTCATACTATTGCAAATCATTTACTTTTTTTTGTAACCATCTATCTTCATTGATGATTAACAGATTCGCCTTAGCTTCTAGATTTTTGTTTATGCAAGTATCATAAAGGCTAGTAGAATTTTTCTTTCGAACATTTATGTTGTTAAAAATAACCTATGCACCATTAAGTCCCTAATTTTTTGCTTTTATACCTGAAAAAATGGAAAAGGAGGTTTCAACAATTTACTCAAAGTCTACATAAATTTATATTCCGATGCATGTTCCAATATTCAAATGAATAGCTCAATCCCAACTTTGTGTCCAATATTAAAAAAAAAATTAAAGAGGTTCCACCAATTTACTCAAAGACTACATAAATTGATATTTGTCAGAGGTTCCAAATTAAACCAATCGAGCATATAGAGATTACCTTTCCCTAGGACAGAACTCAAGCGATGAAATCTTTGTACCCAGGTGTAGTCTTTTGCTATAATGGTGTATCTGCATTTTCTTTACTTCAACTACACATATGTCTCCATCTTTACTTCCCCTGGAATTACAAAAGTCTATGAGCTGAAGAAATGCTGGAGACATGAATCATAGATTGTAATGTGATATACATGCAAAGTGCCAATTACATCACAATTTTACAAGCCTTCAAATTTTTCCATTTTTTATAGTTAAAAGACAGTCGCTTACTCTTCTTTTAACAGCATAAATTTTGGAAATCAAAACTGACAAAAAATAAAGAAAGAATGTTGACCAATGACCAAATACATGCCCGAAAGTCAGAAGGTAACTGTAGGTTCTTACAGAGAAAGGTATTTCCCATCATGGCTAATGGACATTACTGAAGCAGACTTTCTAATCAGTTTCTTATGCCCAATTTTATTCCATGTGCTAATATCATAAACCGCAATGACAGAAGTATCACCTGCTCAGATAGAAGTATCTATAAAAAGGCCATGCTTTGCTGGTCCAAGAGATTTGAAGAATATACAAATTAAGATTATAGAATATACTAGAAACAAGATCCTCTTATACCTTTTTGAACGGAGCAAAATAAAAATGGTTTGGTTCCATCCTTTGAAAATCGACACAATTCAATCTTTTCATCCTAAAGAGGCAAAAGGAAACATTTGGATCAAGTGATTCAAGTAACTGCATTCAGATCCTGCCACAGGTTCTTAAATCAAATATACCATACCGAGTTGCGAGATAAAGTAGATAAAGGAACACCATCTTCAATATTCCAGATTCTTGCTAAACCATCAGTAGAAGTTGAAGCTAGAAATTCTGAGCCTAGACTGAAGTATAAAAAAAAAAAAAAAAAAAAAAA